GCCTAAGCACCCCTTCCTAGGAAACCATTTCTGAGCTACAGGTGAGGCCTCATAACTTAGCAAAACTAAGTGCAGTGCTCTGTGGAGGCAGAGACTGGGACTTGAAAGCCAACATGCCCACGTGCTGCTTACGTGGTGTGAGGTTATCTCATTTACCCTGGGCTTCGCTGCCCAAATTTCTATGGTGGGTAAAGATCTTGTAGGAGTTTTGCAGTTAAATATTATGTAAAGATTCTAGCCCATATAGTAACTGACCTGTCAGTTACAGGGCGATTTTGTGGAAATCAGGAAATCTGTTTCCTCCTTTTGTGTGGCTAAGTTGGCACATAAAATATGAATTGGATTCCAATCCATATTTTTCTCTCTGCTGGCTGTACTTTTTTGATATATACTTGGCATGATAGTATGTAGAAATCCTGCATAATTGGCATTTACTAACCAACCCTTTTTAGGATATTGCTGCAGATTAGATAGATCCAAGTTCATTGCCTTCAAGAAAACAACGAAGATACACACAGTACACCTGTACTTCCCTTTTTTCCCCCACTGTAGAGATTTTGTTTTTATTACAGAGAAACAATAAGGGTGAAATCAAGAGAGTCATCAAAGTTTTCAGCTAGATGGGAAAATCGATGTAATTCAAAGTATTGTCAATATCCCCAATTATACTCATTGGGCATAATTGAAAGTGGTTTGCACTCACCTATTATATTGTTAACCTGATGCTTGGCCACTTGTCGCCTGAAAAACTGAATCAGAAGCAGATTAAAATTAAAATAAAACACATCATTGTCTTCCAGCAGCTTGGTGACCAGCCGAGAAATTGTGCATCTATCGATAGTGAAGAGTACATAGTTCACAATAACACTGGAGGGGGAGAAAAAACGACTTAATGTCACGTACCTGGCAACTTCAGGTTGTTGCTATTTTGGAGATCCAACATACTGTACTTCTCACTCCCTGCCATTTTCTTATTTCCCGTTGAAGACAAGAAGATCAATTAATCTTCTGGCCCTTTGAAGGATCTTTCCATTGGGTCCCAAAAGACCTTAAATCTGTCAAAGAGGAACTTAGTCCATCTGATTTGATTATACAAGTGGTAGAAGTCTGAGACCTTGAGTGGTAGAAGTTGTGAAAATTATACAGGGTGGCGGCTGGTGCTGTGGCACAGTGGGTTAATGCCCTGGCCTGAAGCACCGGCATCTCAAGGGTGCCGGTTTGAGACCCGGCTGCTCCTCTTCCAATCCAGCTCTCTGCTATGGCCTGGAAAAGCAGTAGAAGATGGCTCAAGTCCTTGGGCCCCCGTACCTGCATGGGAGACCTGGAGGAAGCTCCTGGCTTCGGATTGGTGCAGTTCCAGCTGTCATGGCCAGTTGGGGAGTGAACCAGCAGATGGAAGACCTCTCCCACTCTGCCTCTCCTCTCTGTGTAACTCTGACATTCAAATGGATAAATAAGTCTTTAAAAAATTATTTAAAAAATTACACAGGGCATCCCAGGTAACATTTATAGCTATGACCACATTGCATTTGAAAAATTGAATGGATAGGGTTTCCCCTGCTCTTTGAAAGTCTACACTATAACACATGGATGTGATACACAAACCTGGACTGCTGAGGGTATTGGGCAGCCACACCGAGTTCTCTGGTAGCTTTTTTCCAGCGAGTAGATAGGACAGTAAAAAGAACCAGCATCCATGTGATCCTCTCATTTTCAGAAAAAAGGGTCAGTAATATATAAAGAGGGCCTCGAGTAAATGCTGAGAACTTAAGAATGTCATCTGAGCAATAAAGGCAGGGGAAACATTTTGTTATTCCAGATTTGGCAGCTCCCAGATCAGAGTGGTGAAGGGTTCTAAAGTAGAGACCTTAGGGAAAACCTCAATCTTTGTTTTAGGTGACAAATATTAGGAGAAAACCAAGAAGATCAATGCTTTGAAAAATGGAGTTTTTTCAGTTTCTACTTGTTTCCCTCTCAAGGTCTAAACAATAAAAAAGGAATTTTCCAAGAGATAAGTCTAAATGTGCTTAGGACACAGTTGGTGCTCAAAAAAGGAGTCCTCCTTCCTTCCTCATAAGACAGCCCCATAGTCTTCTAGCACCGAACTAGAGAAGCGTTAACTCTTCCCAGTGAGGCCTTGTACCTACAGATCCCGTGAGTCCAAGTCTAGGACAAAGACCTCTCTCAGTGACAGTTAGTGCTCAGGAATCCCCCTCACCCTTTGCCACTTCCAGAAACCAACCAATACCCTTCCCATGGTGAGGAACACATTACCACCCTGGGAGTCAGGAGGAACAGCAGCTAATTTTCTACCAGGGCCACCTTTAGGCAGTGGGTGCTACCTGCAGCTGGCAGTCACATGGAAGACTGTCCTATCCACATGTGCTATCTGGTCAGGCAGTGGTTAGGTACTAGGTGCAGTCCTTGGAACTAAAAACCGAAGCAAAAACATATCCGAGTTGAGATACTGCGAGGAAACCCTAGTATTTTATCTGCAACCTAGGAAGCCCTCTTTGAAAAGCTGTGAATGCTTTCACCTAAAATGAAACCACTATAGAATCATTCCTGTAAGTTAAATACCAACCTGCACCGAGCCTACACACATAGTCATATTGATGTCCTCTTATCTGATAGATATATCTCATTAAGTTAGCAACATCTGAATCTACACCCCAGGCCAGCTTCCTAGGGACTAATTTGGGGATTGTTTTAGTAGCTAGGGATGAGAAGAAACAGGAGGTTGTGATTTTGTAAATCTGAATCCAATTCATATTTCCATAAAAAAAAAAAAAAACCTCTCCATGGATATTCTCTTATTGCAAGCATATCATTAAGCAGCAAAACTTCAGCGGCCATTGAAATTCTATTGAGATACGGAGTAGAAAGTTCTGAACTAGAAAAAGAAAACTCCAGCTTTTGAAGGAAGTAGGAAAAGCACAGTGCTTCAAAAGTGGTAATCACTGGAACAAGGAAGAAAAAATAAGATAAAGAACGGGAAGACGGAGAGGAATTATTGCCGGGGGTAATTTCTTAGCCTTTAGCTGAGCATCAGGAGGACTTGAGTGTACACAGCATACCAGAGGTGATACTGCATTGTCAAGGTCTGTTTTCAGTGGCCAGCACAAAACCCTTCCAATCTCTGACTGGGAGAGTCAAATGATTAGAGGCGAATTTGAAGGTTCAGAGTTGCTTTAGTGTCCACTGACCTGGGTGTGGTGCTACAACAGGACTTCACAAGTCAAAGACAAATCGCTGAACTCTGCCCATTTGTTTCCTTCCCTCTAAATGAGAATAACATTAGTAATTATTTCGCACTGCTTTGAGAGGAGTGAACAAAGCAGTATATGGGGCAGCTTCAAAAAGTCTGTGGGAAATGAAAGTAAAAGACATTTACTTTAGTGCAATTTTATTTTGCCATCTAGTCACCATGTTTTTAACATACACACTTTGCATGAACTTCTTGAAGACCCCACATACGCAGAACACTTACAAAAGTGCTTGGGTAACATGATTGTCAACATCTTCTTCATCACATCACTTAAAAGAAATTAGAAAAAGACTATAGTTTGATAAAGGAAAAGTTTCCAACACAGCCCCAGCCTACATTTCCCTAGATAGCTGTGCACAGGGAGGGGGTCACTTAGAAGATGGGTACCTCAAGAGAAGTCCAGTGCTGCCGAAGGGCATTGAAATGCGATGGAATTAGCAGCAATTGTCTCTCAAAAGAGAAGTTGTCTTACATAGATCCTCTGAGAGTGAACTAAAATAGGGCTCATTCAAATCACTACCAACGGCAAATGATTGATCTAGGGTCTCTGATTGCAAACTGCTTCTCCAAGTTGTGGGGTTCAGGGAGACTTGCGTTTAAGGATCCTCCCTCAGCTGAGGAGGCAAAGGCTGTATGAATAAGTGAAGCACCCAGCCACGGAGGGCAGGCAGCTGCAGGCTTCCACGAGCATTAATTTTGCTTAATGTTACAAATTTTAAATGCTGGAAATACACCATGACAAATAGAAAAGCACAAAGTGATCATTAGGATTATAATGTGTGTGAATGTGCAATCAGAATAGGCACACTGCAAATAAAGCACTATATAAATGCTAAATACTTCATTCGCTACTACAATAACATGTCATATGGCTGAAGTTCTTAAGTACTTTATGTTCTCTGCTAGTATGCAGTCATTAATCCCATTGATACAATTAATGAGGAAATCCTGGGTCCAAATTAGGGAGCGGAGGGAAAAAAAAAACCTGGAATTAAAGACAAATGATGGGTCATTTTTCTCTCAAGCTGTAATGATGCTTTGCTAAATAACACACTTTGCTCTAAACCCAATTTTAAACACCCACAATACACCCTGAAAAGAACTGATTATTACCACTGTATCAATGATTTTGAGTTGGACGACCCACACTTTGCCACTACCCAGAATGAACCAGCATCCTTTAAAGGCCTCCTCTAAAGCATTCATATTCCAATCAGTCCAGACAGGCTGAGTAAGCTTATTTCCAACTGCCAAGGAAATAGGTTAGAGAGGGTGAATCTGGCTGCCCTGCAGGGTTATGCACTTTAAAATTTAGACGACTTTCATCAGGCAAAACAGTGTATCTTAACGATGTCGTGAGTCAGACAGATCTGGGTTGAACCCCAGTTCCATAAAAGCTTAAATAATCTTTTTGCAAGTTTAGCAATATTTTTGAGTCTAGGTGTCTTCATCCTTAAAATGGGTACAATAGTATTATCTTTTAGGATTATTGGGAGGAGTATTCTGAATTTACTCATTTATTAGTAAAGATGAGAAGAGGAAAGAAAAATCTAGCTGTATCTTTTCATTGAAAGATCAGAGACAGGACAGACTAGAAGAAACCTTGCCATAGTCTGAGGTCTACTTCCTGAAGTTAATTCAAAATGCCTCAAGAACGAGCTAGAAAGCTCCTTGTAGGAGCTTGTGTCCAAGGTCATCTGGGTAACAGCAACCTACGCCGTTTATTTTGCAGCTTCTGCTGCTGATGTGTGTTTCTGGAGATTTGCAACACTGGCCGAACCCTGCCTCACGAAAACATGCTCTATTGGAAGGACTTCAGAGAAAGCTTTTTCCCTTTATGCGCAATTACAAGGCATAATTACAAGAGGAAGTTACAACAAGAGACTAATGCATTGTAAGTAATTTTATTAACCACGGTGACCACACATATCCTCAGACCCATTAGGGAAAGTACTCCACCCCAACCAGGGTCTGCTGGGATCCCTTTTCAGTGGCAGCTCCTGTGTCCATTCTGGTGAAATGGGACAAACAAGTTAGTCACCAGAGAGGTCTTTGGACCTTAAACTGCAGTTCAGTAAAACAACACTAAGAGAACAAAAATCCTCTTTTAGTGATGATTGATCTTACTGTCGATAACTAAGATCTCCTTTTAATGAATATCTTGTTGTCCAACTGTTGGAGCGGATATACCCTTTGGTGAATTCCTACAGCAGGAGATACCCCAAGTCATGTCCCTTCTACAGCTCACATCTGATGACTGTACCAAGGTATCTCAGCCCTGGAAACTCTGAATGGCCATTAAGACCAGAGCCCTCTGTAGGATCAGCTAAGGCTGCTGTTGGGCCTGCGTCCACCTCAGTTAGTGGCCACTCCTGTTTCTTTATTCACTTGCCCACTGGTGATGGTTACAAAGGCACACAATACACTGTTCCCTAAACACTGCATTAGAGCCTGTCTTCTGGAGAATTCAACTTGTTACAGCAACTATTTATGCGGGTTCTTCAAAAGACATGTGGAAAATGAAATGAAAAAATAAGCATTTTGGTGCAAAGTATTTTGAAATCCATGTATATGAGGTGTTTTCAAGAACTACTTGAAAGCACACATAATGTAAAAAAATGCATACATTTCAAAATTTTTCTAAATCAAGATAAACTTTCATTCCCTTTTCCACCAATGTTTTGAAGGGCCCATGTACTTGCATAAATTCCTAGAGGAAACTAAAGAGAAACTAAAGGAAACTTTGAGCATTCAAATAAATGCCTTTTACCACAGGAGGTTGAGTTTCTATTCTCAGTTGCTCCAGTTTCCTATAATCCTTCATGCTGAATCCTGTTTTGACAAGACCTCAGTTCACTATCAGCATCACATGGATTAACAAGATCTGCCTTTAGCTAAGGGAGGGCAGGTAGATTTGTGCTGACACTGAAGGAATACCAGAGATGCTTTCCTAACCCATCGGTCTCCTCTATCAATCTCCCTAGGATTTAGTGTCCACCTTTGGTCACTAAATGGAGAAGTGATACCTCACAGCAACAGTAACACTTGCTCAGAGTTCGGAGACTAAGTCCATACTCAGGCCTTCAACCATCTGAATGCCTCTTAAAATTTTAGAGGCCACTTCTCTTTCTGAGATGGTTGGTTTGAAGAAAAGGGGTGGCTGTAAGATTTCCTTAATTATAAAATGTTTGCAATATAATAATGAAAAGTACAGTTTTTAAAAGTTTTCTCAAAGTATAATGGCAATATGCCTATTTTTCCTAGGAAAGTTCCAGTTTACTTCTATTGAAGCACAATTACTAAAGCTCATTCCTTTCACTTTCAGAGGGAGTCATTATTTTTTCCTTTAGTGCCTAATTTGGGCAAAAATCCTAAGAACAAAAAAAATGGGCGCATATAGTTGTTTTGTCATAGTCATAAAATTGTGCAATTGGCCACGTTATTTGCGTCCTTAGAAGGCTGTTTCCATTTATTAAAAATGGAACTATTATAACCTATCTCATTTATGTTAAATATTACAAATACTCAATGAGCCTCCTTCAGAAAGAATGCAATATAGTATCGTAAGAGCATTTCAGTTTTTTACCGTAGTGCTCAAATATGTATGGCTGTGCCTGAACATTCTACTACAATGTCAGATCTGCTGGAATAAAAACCCTGTATTATCTATTCAGACTTGGACCCACCAAATGCTTTGCATTTTTTTTTTTTGAATATTGTCTATTTGTGAACAGCAAATGCTCATCAACTGATCCAACAAGTTCTAACCATGCCCCCAGCTTCCCATTGACAATGGCTACAGTAACAAACGTCCTCAGTGGTAACTTCCTATGGATGCTTTTCTGTGAAAGTTCTGTTTTCTACCTCCTGTAACAGCCTTACAGACCTTTTTTTACCCCTATAAAGACAGACTGCTCTGTTTTACTTTCTTCCTTCCAAAATGCAACTCAAACAGCTATCTTCTAATAACATCTATGGTAATGGATACCGTATTGCAATTGTCCTTGAAAAACTATGGTTCAAATCCCTCTGATATTTGTCTCCTTATATTGTGCCTCATGACTCCTTTCTTGTTTAGAATGATCTCTCCTGCCAGCTAAATACCCTTTCACTCTTTCTAGAGGTTAGACAGCACTCCCAACATGTTCTGTCAATTTCCAATCTCAGATGGTGTGTGACAGTTCCATCAACTGCCTCCTCACATATCCCTATTGATGACACTTTTGTAAATCAAGTCCAAGAAGACAGTCCAATGGGCATGAGTTACATTTGTTAGTAAAATATCCCAACTAAATTATAATATTTAACATAGTTGACTCCTAGGCTATAGAAAGAGTGATGGACAGATTATAATTATAGAACCTAATTCAGTGTCCTCTGAGTTTGGTCAGAGGACATCAGCAATTATGATTCAGACTAAAATTTAAGAACCACTGACTCATAATTACATCTTCTATAATGAGAATTATAGGAATTAGATAGGAAACATGCAATCCTCTTTATACTCAAACATCTACAAAGGATGATGCTTGAGGAAAATTTAACACTATACTGGATTAAGTATGTAGTAGACAAACCCAACCCAATAACCCTTCTAGCTTTCTAAGATTTATGGATTTTTCTTTTTTAAAGAAGAGCAGGAGGGAGGGAGAATGGGAAGGTAGGAGGAGTGGATGGAAAACGAGAGGGCAAGCGGGAGTGTGAGCACTTGGGACAAAGAGTTCCTGTGTGAGACAGAAACCAAGTGAGAGCAAGTATTCGCATTCACTGTTTGACTCCTCAGATGCCTGCAAAAGTGGAGGCAAGGCCAGGTCAAAGCAAAGAGCTAGAAACTCCATATGGATCTCCCATGTAGGTGGCAGGGCTCCACCCACCAGATCCACTATCTTCCCAGATGCATTATGAGGAAGCTGTATCAGAGGTGAAGAAGTCAGGACTCAAACCAACCCTCCAATAGGGGATGTCATCATCATAGGGGTGATAACCTGCTGGGCTGTAACCCCAGTCCTCCAAGATTTCTACTTTATTAAATTCCTGAAATTGGGTTCATGGAATATATTAACATCCAATGTGTATTTTTTTTTTTTAAGTAAAACTCAGTATTGTTGAGCTCAGAAACTGAAGTAAAACTGGTTTTACTAAAAGCAGAATGTACCCACTTCTCGGATGGTGCTCTTAGTCTTCTAAGCTTCCTTGGCTGAGCTCTGGGTTCATGCTTGGAAATGTTCTTGAGCTGATGGTCCCCCGCAGCCTAGTCAGATCTTTCCCCCTTCATGACCAGCATGAACAATTTCTATTCTCTTAACTCTCCCAAATTAGATCAACTGGGTCAAGTTTTCGTTAGTCTCTGTGGACAGAAAGTAGAGTGTGTGTCTCTTGGCCCCACCCAAATCACAAGGACTTAGAATAGGGGATAGGTGTTCCAGAAGTTGAAATTACTTGCTAAAGCCAGTAGTGGGAAGTGATACTGCTCAGGCATCATCATAGCTCTCCATCCTAGGTCAAGGTATGTTTTACTGGGAAGAGGGTCCATAATTTTCATTGTGCTCTACCCAAAAGATGTACTTAAGGCTCCTCTCAACTTGATTCAACTTTAGGCAAGTTTCTTCTTTATTATCGACCCTGACCTCCTTTTTTGTAGCATGTTGATTTTAGAAAACTTACATTTTTCTAATCTTTCCTGGTCTTTTGTCAGTTTGACGACCTAGCAATATCTTTCTGAAGGACTCCGAAATTCATTTTCTTTTTTGAAATTTAAACATAAAGAAACAGAAGCAAGCCCTGTCTCCCCTTCTCCGTGGAACGGCGGTAACTTAACTTCCAAGTGTTGCCAGTGGCAGACTAATGGTTTCTAAGCACCCTCACCAACTTCGCCACAAATGTCCTCCAGTACCTTTCCACAATTCAGCCAGTGCTTCAAACAACCCTTGCCCCTTATTTCAGTGAGTTATGTTGGTCAGTCCTACTTGATAGCATCACTCCTTTATTGAAATATAGTCTTCTTTGAGCATTTAACTTTGACTAACATGTTTCTCTTTGCCATGTAACTTTAAAATGATTAAAAACTGATACAAGCTATGGTTGTCTCCATGCACTTGGAAGATTTAAGATGCTGAGTCCTAAAATATTAATCTAAGTCCTTTGTTATAGCTACAACCTAAGAATTTCCCAGAGTTTTTATTTCATTGTCAATAAAATAGAAATAAAGCATGATATGATGATTTCCATTTTCCAGATACTGCTTATACTTACAAATACTTGTTTAAACTTCCATTAAATTGTAAACTCAGTGAGTGCAGAGACCATTACTACCTTATTCATTCCTTAATCTCCAGTGCCCAGCAAATTCTTGATACTCAAAAAGACGATCCATTTTTTAAAAAGTTATAAATAATATGAATAGAATAGAACTGAAAATAAAGCTTTATTGACTTTGACTCTGGCCTCAAATTAAGAGAATGTTGGACATTTTTAGTCTTTTTTTTTTGTTGATGACAATTATACATTGGGTTAATTGTTAGATTTTCCTGATGCTCGACTTTCTCCGTTATAAATATCAGAATAAATGATTCCTGAAGTCCCCTACAGAACTAGCCTCATATACCTTAGGATGATTGCCCTGTTATAACCGTTTCAAAGATCAAAACCCAGGTTCACAATGAATTTTTAAGTTGGAGGATGTAAGTTACAACTCCAGATATTGAAGGCCATTAGTTTGTCTTCCCATTCTCTTCTTTTCTTGTCATTCTTTATGCATTCATATAGTTACTAAATACTAACTCTGTATGCACTCATTCTAAAGAAGATCAAAAATATTTTGCATACTTAACTGGAATTAAGCATCTACATCTTGGCTGATTTCTCCCTTTGAGATTCAAATTCTAGCTGTGCTCTTGTTTCATTAAGCAGTTAAAATTATTTTTCTAACCTTGATGCATTATGTAAATGACAGGGACTAATTTACCTTGAAGCATAGTCTCCTGGGAATACAACTTTGATCTCAATGATCTAGCCAAACAGGCACTGGAGAGGAACTTCCCTCACATCTTTCTTCGAGTCTTCAGACATTCAAGAAGGGTTAATGTACTTAGGTTTACTTTCCTGACAGATGCCCTTGTCTACATAAGATTGATATCCACGAAGTAAAAGAATAAAAACAATATCCCTCTGACTACATTTTCATTCTTTTCTCTCTTCTCTTTGTCTATTATTATTTCATTTATTTATTTATTTTAGATCTGTAGGTATCACAGTTTATTCATTTCACAGCAATTAACACAACAATGATCAAATAGAAAGACCCCAGGCATAAACCTGACAGGAGCTGAGGAAACAGATGACTGTTGAAACTCATTTGTAATGTAATAGTATTCCAGAAAGCTGTAAGTTTTTGACCTTAAGCAAAGGAAACCTGATGACTGTAATACTTTTCTTTATAAACCTTTTTCTTTCTGCTTCAAAATTGCTTACTGTTTTAAAGCCATGCCTCGCCTATGATTGCTTCCAAAAGCATATGTCTCTTTTAAAGCCAGAGTTTGCTTCAATAACGTTGGGTTAATTGAGCACTCACTCACACTTGGTGGCAAGCCGAAGGATAAAATGTAGCCCCAGTATGTCTATCTGTAGAAAAATTCATCGTAGAAAGCATTTAACCCTAAATGTAAGAAAGTACTTCTTTGGTTCTAATTGTCTAAAAAATAACCTATTAATAATTTCTCACACAGCCTCTGAAGACATTTTTGATCACACAGATCTGAATCAAACACAAGCACCAACAGACATCAGGTGGTGAGATTTGGGGCAGATAACTTGGCTTCTCCAGGCTTGAGCTTCACCTTTTCTCAGTATTTTCCATAATAGTACTCAACTCCTAATACGGTAGTGAAGTTTTAAACAATGTGTTTGAAAGGAGACTTAGAGATTCCAGCACATACCTTGCACTTAGTAAACGATGATAGTTAATGTGTGTTATTTTGCGGAGAATGGTTTTTGCTGAGTGAATCAGCGAATATCTTGGGTTGAAGGCAGTAACCAAACCACTGCTGGAGATGATCCTGCATTCTGAGAGATGATGCAAACTGGCAACTCTGCAGTGCACTTTTCCCTTCTTTGTTATTCTGACTTAGAACCAGACGTCCTGTCCCAGGGATCTCTTCTGTCTGCCTCTGCCTGTGCAAGCCTGCATTTGTTGTCCAGCTTCCTTTCTACCGTATCTGTTACTCAGTGGATTTTTTTCCATCTCTTACATCCAAGCTATTAGTCCATTCAAAAATAGTCTTTGTCCATCAGCTTTCTAGTTTTCAGAAATTCTAACAACAGGAGACTAAAACCTCTAAGTTTACAGAAGGTGTGAGTATGGCCCCTTAAAAATAAATTTTTGGAGTTAGAAAATCAGAAATAGTACTCTATGACCTAATAAATAGAAACCTGATAATCTTTGTTCTAAGACATTTTTTCTAGAAATGCTATTTTCATTTTCAGCAATCCCAGCTGGACTCAAGCCCCAGAGTAGGAGAAAGTAAAAAATGCACAGCTAGAAATGACTTAGCAGCATTGAGAGGTCAACCAAAACCATTCTCACCTTTCACTTGTGAAGGATGTGAATTGAGTCCCATAATCACCTCTCTAAAGAGGAAATCCCAGGGCATGCAGTGAATAATTATATGCTTTAAAATGCTATGTTGGAGACAACTTACTCTATACTTAAAGCACCCCATCACTAGATTCACAACCAATTTCTCTGCTTCTGTCTCTTGATTCTGACCTCAATTCCTTCTTTGTTTATCCATACAGACAGCCTCAGTACACACAGAAACTTATACTGTTATGTAAAGGAATGAACCTAATTCATTGCTGTATGTCTATTTTCAATTTTGTTTTATTATAAAATCCATATAACATGGAATTTAATATCTTAACTCTAAGTGGACAATTCAATGATATAGGTCATATAACTGAGCAGCTATCACCAACTGCTGTCACCAGACACTTTTCATCTTGCACATTGAACCTTTATACACATCAGACAATTTCCCTTTCCATCTTTGTCCAGCCCCTGGCAACCACTCTCAACATTTTACTATTCCTATGTTTTAACCACTATGTGGATGTTTTCAGACAGGTTTAGCTTTTCCATTCACCTGTCGATAGATACATAACTTGCTTCGTGTGTACAGTTATGTGAATAATACTGCTGCGAACAATGGAGTCACAAATCTTGAGATCCTACTTTTAGTTCTGTTGGGTATTGACGCAGAAGTGACATTGCAAATTTTTAACCTCTTGAATAATTACTATATGGTTTTCCAAACTGCTTCCATTATTTACCTCTATACCAATAGTATGTGAGAGTACAAACTGTCCAGTCTCACTAATAATTTTTGACAATCTATTCCATTTATATGAGGTAGTATGTCACTATATTCTTGATTTATATTCTGTTAGTGATTAGTGAGGTTTGATATGGGAAAAGTCAGGGAGATAATTCATGAGCTAGAAACCACACCTCCCCACTCCATGTTACCATATTAACCCACCTGTCAATCAGATGACCCCTCCCCAGGATGCACCTCCCCTTACCTGGGATCTGAGGGCACTACTATGTAACCACTCCCCTTTCCTGAGCTCATAAGAAGCCTGGTAAAGTGGAGGGTTCTCTCTCTCTCTCTCTCTCTCTCTCTCTCTCTCTTTCTCTCTCTTTCTCCCCCTCTCCCTCTCTCCCTCCTTGTGGTCCTTAGGGAGCAGGGAATCTAAGTCCCTCTTTACCTCTCCTCACCCTCTCTCCCTAAATAAAGCCCTCATGTGCCAGTGTATTCTTCTCACTCTGTAAATAAGCCTTATCACCCTGCAGGTCATGTTTGTGCCTGTGGTTACAATTTTTGAAGTAAAAGGCAAGAATCTGGAATAGGAATTGAGGCCCAACCTAGTCCTCAACAATGTTGAACAGTAGTTCACGTACTTAATGGCCAGGCCACGTGTAAATCTTCCTTAGAGAGGAACTGACCTCTGATTTTTTTAATTGAATTGCCTTTATGTTCATTTCTGTAGTTGAGTTTAAGGAGCTCTGTATTGTGGATATTGATCATTAGATATGACTTGTAAATATTTTTGCATTTCATAAGCAGCTTTTTCATCCAATTAAGAGCATCCTGGCCGATGGCCATACCACCCTGAACACGCCTGATCTCCTCTGATCTCAGAAGAATGCCCTTTGAACCACAGAAGCTTTTGAAAAGTCAAATTTTCCTAAATTTTTCTTTTGTCGTTTGAATTAGGGATTAAGGCCTTTTCAGAGTGCATAGTGATTTGATTCTCTCATGCATGCCATTGTTTTTGCATGCGCTACTCTTCCATATCTGGATGACAAAAGGGTAAAAAGACAAAATCGAGAGGGAAGCATTAAAAAGGGTATCAGCCTGAATGTCCTTTCAGGCAGATGGGGAGAGGCTTACAATGATAAGGGTACAACACTGGCTCCCTGTCTCCAAGTCTGAACTTCATCTGCAAGAGCAGTTATGACTAGGCTTAGGTTATCGATAATCGAAGACTGGGTCCTTACTGCCAGCTTTTTCTTAGAAACTGCATGCATGTTGCTCCAGGAACACATGGCTACCCGCCTAGGGGCGAGGATTGGAGAATGGGCAGCAATCTCCTTATGTAAGAGCTGAAACCCACAGACCCTAACTAAAATTTACTGTGCAGACGTTCCTTTGGAAGTTAAAAGCATTTAGTAAACTCCAGGATTTCAAAATATTTAGCCTGATTATGTCTGTGTGATTATTGTCTAGGTGGGCAGTTAGATTTCTGGGGCTTGCTACTCTACTATCAGCTAAGAAGGCTCTTTATCCAATCACTTTTATATCACATGCATTGCTTCTTGCATGTCTCTGTCCTATGTATATGAAACCCATCTCTCTCTCCTTCCCTGCTGCTCCCTAGCCCCCTGTTTCCTACGCATTAGTCTATTATAATCTCCAGTATGACTGCATGCAAAGCACACCTTTCTCTAACTGGTGGGGATACAGATGGGATTCCTAGCTTCATTATTCTGAAGAATTTAGATGTCGTCCGTCACTGAAAGGGCTTAGCTACTGGAAAATCTGTTTTTCTAGGAAGGTCATTGTAATGCTATCAAATGGAAATAAATTAATATGGATATCCAGGTGCTAAGTTAAAATGTCAACCCTGAACTTTGGAAGTCAGACCCTTCAAAGGCAACCATGTACAATTTCTCTCAACTCTCAGAGATAGTTTTTTTAAATGAAGCACAGCTTCAAAGGGAAGGGAGCATGAGGTGTTGCCCTCTGAAGGAGCAGAACGTGAAAGGGCTGCAGGTTCAACTTTCCACCCTCTCCTGCAGCCAGGATCACATAATTACAGCAGCTTAAAATACTGATGAGAAAGTGGTTTGGGTTATTTATTCATAAGCTTTTTAGGAAATTAAATTTGCATGATAGATTTATTTTTAATGCATTAGTGGCTAAATATCTTCCAGCAAGTTTCATTAAAAAGCTAAGTAAACATGCGAGGTATCAAGCATGATCATTCTGTCCCCACCCGAAGACATTATTTATATTATTTCTCTAGTGCACAAAGAAGGTTCAAGGGGACGACACAGATGGACGGCTTTCTTTTCCTATAGTTTCCTATAGAAAAAGTTCCTGGACTTTTTCATAATACCTTGTTTTATGACTCTGAACATCAAGATCTTTTTTAAATCTTGGATGTGTGGGGTTCCAGGAGATAACTCTTCATTGTAATTCCCTCCAACACCCACAATATTCATATAAAGTACACATGTATAAGAATACAATTACATATGATTAGAGAGGTTAGTTTCCTACTACAGAAATGCATTCTTTATAAATGCTACATGAATAAAGTTGCCTTCTATTTAATTTGTCCAAGGCGGTGATTATGATATCTACCACCTCCAAGTTTTTAGTGCTTATCTACTACCTGGACATCCTAAACAAATGCCTTTGTTGGTCTAACTATACTTTTCCTTTCCAAATACACTTCTCATCACTTTGCAGCAGGAATTCTACTTTTCACTTAAACTACTCTCTTCTAACGGGTTTTGTTTTGTTTTTAACCATCCTGTTTTCTAGAATGACTTCCCCACATCTCATCTCAGCCTATTAGGAATGCTTTCAAATACTTCCTTCTTTGTAAATCCTTTACAGTCTAAACACCCCACACCATGTTTTCAGATCTTTCATTTTGTACTGTTATATATTCTTGAGACATTTTTACTCTGATTTTTACTATAAATTTTGACCTATTTTATCATTAAATATGATAATTATTAAACTACCATAACTTCACTTCTTGAGTGCTCATGGTATATATATTAAGTAATAGCTTAAAATCAACATGGCATGTTCAAGAACAAAGTGTTCCAAAAGAAAGTGTGTGGTTTGCTCAAAGTTTTCCTTGATTCCAGAGGTAACTGTGCATCAGGAAAACATATTGGCCAGGATTTCAGAAAGAAAGGCCCTATGGGAATCCAAATAAATCACAGTATTTTGCCAAATAGTAACTAAAAGTATAAGGAGGTGCCTGTTGTTTACATATTATGTTTGTACTTACTTTAGAAGAAATTGCTTTTGGTGCAACTGATTGCTTATTTAAAATAAAATAAATTTGGATTTATGTCTCATGCCAGAATAAATCCCCAAATGGCTCAAGATTTAAATGGGAGTAATGTAAGCAAGACATTAAAAATAGAGCACATGGCAGAAAAGTGTGTTGAATTTTGATATGAAGATAATTATGAGTATCAAAAATGACCATAGGCAAACTTAAGACATAAAGGACAAAATGAAAACAATATTAATTTTTATGACATGCAAAAGGCTAACTCATCTAATATGAAAAGAATTCCTATACACGCCTAATATCAGATACCCATTGAAAAGTGGCCAAATATTATGTTTAAAGTTCCTCAGAGGGGCCAGCATAGTAGGTTCATCTTCTGCCTGAAGCTCCGGCATCCCATATGGGTGCTGGTTTGAGTCCCAGCTGCTCCTCTTACAATCCAGCTCTCTGGTGTGGCCTGGGAAAGCAGAAGATGGCTCAAGGCCTTGGGCCCCTGCACCCACGTGGGAGACCTGAAAGAAACTCCTAGCTCCTGGCTTCGGATTGGTGCAGCTCTGTCTGTTGTGGCCATTTGGCGAGTGAACCAAGAGAAGGAAGACCTCTCTCTCTGTCTTGACCTCTCACTGTCTGTAATTCTACCACTCAAATAAAATCTTTTAAAAAAATTCATCAGAAATAAGGTGGCAATACACA